GTCAGTTTCCGACAATACTGTAGTGAAGGAATGTGACATCCTTACCCAGGACGTTGTGCCACTAAGTGTTGCAGTTCATACTATCGTCATATAATATTGGAATGAATGAATTAATGATTGTGAAAAACTTAACACTTATTTGAATTCAATTGTATATAAACCGTCTAGGGGCTTCTGTTGCCAACGTACATCACTAAGGCTTACGTCTGGAGGTTGTATAGAGACTCTGCTCCAGAGCATGGCGTCGTGGCGCAGTCAACGTTCAGGAAGCTGTGGAACACCATCCTACCATATGTGGTTTCAGCAAAGCCGACAACTGATCTCTCCTGGACATGCCAGCAGAACAACAACCTCATAACGAGACAGGTGAGTATGCGCTCAAAAGCGATCCCACAAGCAAATAGTCCTCCAAGAACCAGATCGAGTGGCAGAGCTTCATGAAATGATGATCGCCTTACAGCAACAAGTTTCAAGCCTAATGCCCTCAGGGAATACAGCTGCTCAGTCAAGATCAGAAGCCACCAACCAGAGGTCCAATGGGAGACCGAGAGGACCAAGGAAGTCCACTTATCGTCTGATCTGTTACAACTGTGGAAAATTTTTTGATTTTCTGTGTGAAGTAGCAACGGGTATTCATCGCCAAAACACACAATGGCGTAAAGCCATTTGTGTCAGGAAGAGAATTGCAATATCAGTAATTTTTGTGGGGTAGCCAGATGTACCACCAATGTCTTGTCAATGACACCTGCCTTGTAATTGTTCAAGAACTGATGAGAAGGTACATTACCTTTACTCCTTGAGATAGATTGCTGGCAACCGTTCAGGGATTCAAGGACATTGGGTTTCCTTCATTGCAGGGGCCATTGATGGAACCCACAAAAAAAACAAAAAAAACAAACAAACTTAGTACTGCCGATGCGTGTACAACACCAATAGTACCCCGAACCAGCTAGCAGCAGTGATTCTGGACCAAGTAGGAGCGAGACAAACAGACTTAAAGTGGATAATGTGAACTAGAAGAGGCCCCTAAAGAACTAAAAGATCTGCAAACCACTGCTGGTTTACAGGAGGGACAAATACAGCGTAGACTCATTAACAGATGAAGTTATTTGTATGGAAACAGGACCCCCAAACAAGAACATTCTAGAAATTGTCACTGGGTACTTACAACGTTTTGAGGATAACATTGAATACTTCAGCGGCTGGCGAGTCAAAGCGATATCATTTCAGGACCAGATCTTCATCACGCTCATGAAGCTGCACCAAAATTACACAAATTTACATCTAGCACAACTATTCCACACCAGCACTGCCACAATCCGCAACGTCGTCATCACATTCATCCACATCTTATTTGATCTTCTCTATGAAGACTATCCCATCCCGCGATAAGAACAAATTGTCTATGCCAGACGCATTCAAACTATTTGGGAGTTGCAAAACGGTGATGGACTGCACTAATGTAGAGATTGCAGCTCCGAAGCTGATGAGTGATTAGAAGAGGACCTACTCGGCGTACAGAGGTATACATTCCTTCAAACAGCTCCTGGGTGTAGCACCAAATACTGTCATTACGTATTGCAGCAAAGTGTTTCCAGGGTCAGTTTCCGACAAGGCTGTAGTGAACGAATGCGACATCTTCACCCACGTCAAGGTCGGCAATCTCATTCTTGCTGACAAGGGTTTCCTCGTCTAGGACGTTGTGCCACCAGATACGTTATGGGGCAGATCAAACTGTTGCTGACTGCTCCAGGTACAATGTATGATGGCAACTAAGAGCAAGACATTGACCCCAATCAAGATTACAAATATTATGAATATAATAATGATGTGATTGCAATGAATTATGATGATAATTCTTATCATGGTGAGGGGCTGCAGGCACCTAGTGTGATTGAAACAGGAGGAAGGTGTAAAACCTGTGAACATTGACGTGGAGAGGGAGGCCACAGCTGCTGCCAACTTGACCATAGAGATGGACTTCGAACTGGAGCCGCTGAAAGGCTGCCAGAACAAGTGCCACTGTACTCTGTAAAAGGGGAAGAACTGTATTGAGCAGTTCATCCAAGCTGAGCAAGATTCTATAAAGTATTGAAAGTGTTTTTGAACATGTGGATTTGAGTAAGTCGGATTTTGAAGATTTTGTTAGACAGGGGATAACTGACATTTAGGCCACTCAGGGAGGATTTGAAGAAGCCCTGGAATTCCAGGGAAAGCGTACTGCTGATTTTGAGAAACGAATGGACCCACTTGAGAAGAAAGTTGCAATGTTGGAGTTCAAAATTGAGCAGCATAATCAACGTTTGATGCAAGGTGTTGTTACTGAAAACAAGTTAGAGCTGTTTTCGCACAGAAACTATTTTTGTATTGTTGGGCTACACCAAAACACAAACGAAAATCCAATGGAGTTTACTAGTAACTTCCTTATGCTTCACTTTGGTCTGGAAGGAGGGATCGAGGGGGCTCATTGAGATTAAGACACTTTCAGTACTTTTCTTGACATTTGCCATGTTCGATTGATAATGATTTACTTTCAAGTACTCTTTTTATTTATATATTTCCCCTATCTTATACAATCTGCAGGTCAACATTCCTGAGGATCAGAAATCTGAGGCGCTTCGGCATCAGGAGCAGCATCTTCTCAATGCCAGGACGGAGTGGGACGCATACAATGCAGCATGCAAGGCATCCAAGGCAAAGGAGCACAACATCACCAGGCTAGGACAGAACATTGCTTAAATTCCAAGCCCGTAGTTTTCCATTATAGCTTTGATTTTGCGCAGCAAATCCATTACCCAGAGAGGTCAACGTTCCTGAGGATCAAATATCTGAGGCGCTTCGGCATCAGGAGCAGCATCTTCTCAATGCCACGACGGAGCGGGTCGCATACAATGCAGCATGCAAGGCATCCAAGGCAGTCGCAAAGGAGCACAACATCACCAGGATAGGAGAGAACGTTGCTAACTCTAAGCCCGTAGTTTTCCACTATAGCTTTGATTTTGCGCAGCAAATCCATTTCCCAGAGAGTCCCAGAGACAGGGGCCGCAAGTGAAATCACTCTCAGGGGAAAGAACACGACGCACGTCGACTGCGCAGAAGAAGTTTGCAGCAGAGAGGGATAAGCAATCCATTGGTTTTGCCTCCAGATTTCGGAAGAAGGTGAACCACTGCAGGAGGAGAGGGCCATCAGCCTGAATTTTCTCTTCAAGGCTCCACTCGAGGACAAATACCTCTCAGAAACATGTCAAAATCACCTAAAGCCAGGAAACTGTGATCTGGTAGTCTCTAAGGTTAATCCATTAATTGGGGAGACTTGCACTAGTCCGTAATGATCATGGACCTCAAGATCCAGCGCCGCCAGAAGCCACTTATCAAGGGAATTCACATACAAATCTGGACTTCTGTTGCTGTGGACACATTTCAGTTCCATTCCTTTATTTACCTGCAATGAAGAGTATTCTTTTGCCGTTTTTCAAACAAATTTTTTAATGAAAACCTTAGCAGTTTCAGGGGCTAAATTATATAATAAATTAAAAACTTTAAGTCTTTACACAGTTTTAAAAAGTATGTTCAAACTTTTCAGTTTCTCTTGTAAACATCTTGTCACCTCAATTTGACCTTAAGAAATCACATTTCATGTTCTCAATTTGATAGTTGTATCTATTTTTTTCTTCTTATAATTGTTAATGTGTGTTTTTATGTGATCTATATATTTTTTTTTTCCTTTTTCTTATTGATATCAATTTGAATTGAATTATTGTATATGCCATGTATATTTTTACTTTTGTATGTATGTTTTGAATTCATATTTTTATTGTTCATGTTTTTATGTGAATGCAGGGCTCTCTGGGAGAGCAGGTCCAGAAATGGACTTGAAATGAGACCATCCTGTTGAAATTAAACTATAATAACAAAAACAAAAAATTGCCTGGTCATGTAAGTAAAGGAAAGGCGAAGAAAGATATGCCTTGAATGTTTCTACGAGGCAGTGAAAGAGGTATGCCTGCGCTCAGTTAAGGAGGTGGTCAATTCCCATCTTCTCCACCTCAAATTCCGGCAAGATGCGATAGAGCCTCAAAGAGGAAGGGAAACGTCAATGTTATGTATATCCTGATAGCTTGTGTTACAGAAATAAGGCCAGGGGTATGTTTCACAAAGATCCTAAGTCGAACTTAACTCTAAGTTGGACTTAACAATTATGGAGAGCCATTTGTAGCCTTAAAATAAAATATATTCAAAAGCTAAAAATCAAGTATTTTAGACTTTTTATAAAAATTCCACATCAAGAACATGAAATCTCCTTGGTAATAGAAAATATGAATGATTTGAATCAACATTTTATGCCTTTTAAAATAACTTTTACAAAATATTTTCAAAGATGCTAAAGGCTTTCCATAATTGTTAAGTCAAACTTAGAGATAAGTTCAACTTAGGATCTTTGTGAAACACCCCCCAGGAAGCTGATTACAGTTTACTCTAACAAGTAATATTGTTCCTGAAATTTATCTTTGGGTTTTTGCTACAGAATATTTCACTCTTTACCATACATGTAGCTGTCCAGTATGCTGGAATATTTTTTCAATATTTTTCAACCTAGCTATTGCTAGGTACCATCTGTATATTCCCCAGGATAATGTTGTCAGATGAAGCTGCTGTTTGTTTATTGATTTTGCTTGTTTTTAATAAAACATAGAGTAGAGATCAGTCGAAAGCAGTACAGTCTCTCATGACTGCTCCTATTTTTGTTGTTAAATTTCTGTTTTCTTATCAAAGTAGTGCTTGGAATGTATGTGAACCTATTTGTATGTGTCCTGTGATCACATTGGACTTGTTTGACTTGTGGATTCCATCCTTTTGCTTCAGAAAATAGTGATTTTACGTTCTGAAATATGACTGACCGTGACCCCAGTGTGAAAAGTTTGCTGGTACAGAAAATCCTGCCTTGTCTAGCCATAGCTCTGGCTTGATACTTCTCTACCTTAGTGCTCTTTCTCTGGCTGGACTCACTCATTCTAGCTACAAAGGATTTCTCTATTGAAGCTACTATTGTCCTTTTTCTTTTGTTTGGACTTGCCTCAATGGTCACCCTTGACAATGGAGGTAATCAGTTGTTTGTTTCAGGTTTCGCCTCTTTCTGTTATCTGAAATATTTACTGTATACTCATGTTGAAATCCTTGTTACATATATAATTTATATATACATTGCGTTTCATATTGTAATGTAGAGAAGGAAACAAATGTTAATAAATACAAAATACAAATACAATAAAACCCTGGTGAGGTTGACTCAAATCTCAAAGAACACAGAGGATTTCATCCACTCAAATATCAGATATCTGTTCCTAAACTTAGTAGCTGAGCTCAGCAGATCTCGATGAGGTTACATGGAGTGAACTAAGTCCAGATAGTGTGGAGAAAGATACAGGCGCGATATTACAAATGGTAGTCCATCTCACTGAATACTGTTGCAGTATTCATCTTATTTAGTTTGAAAGTTGGAAGGATTTTCTTTTGAAAACAGCTCACAGCCTAATGTGTGTAAGATAGAATGTTGTGTTTTTGAAGATTTGTCTCTCTGAACCATCTTATGATGATCTGTAATAGAATGTTCACAAGCTGTGGGGTCTACAATTTAAATGAATAAATACATTGCTCTCTCACACTTCTATGCAACTCTCTCTCTCTCTCTTTATCTCCTTATTCACTCTCATTCATTGAGGCCATATCACATGGTCCCCCTGTGGGCTACTGTTAGCTATAAAGGGAGGCACAGTCTATCTTTTATTTTCTCTCTCTCTCTCTCTCTCTACCTCCCACTCTCTGTCACCAAGGCCATATCACCTGGTCCCCCTGTGGACTACTGTTGGCTATAAAGGAAGGCACTGTCTATCTTTCATTTTCTCCCTCTTTCTGTCTCTATCTCTCTCTCACTCTATTATCCTTTCACTCCCACTCCCTCTCTCTGTCACCGAGGCCATATCACCTGGTCCGCCTTGGGGCTACTCTTGGCTTTGTAGGGAGGTAGTGTAGTCTGTTCCAGGTTCTCCACCATCTGTCTGGACTCTGTCAGCAGTCTGTGGAGCTTGCTGGTGGGTGACATGCCAAGCTAACAAGAGCAAGATACATGGAGACAATAAGAGATAAAAGATCACATTAAGGATTAACATGAAAGTAAATGAGAGAGAGAATGAGAGTGACACGAGAGTTGCGGGGAAGAGTAGGAGAGCAATATATTTATTGATGTCAGCTATAAAGTGATCACACATCAAATCAAATTCATTATGGGACAATTTTAGGAACTCGTACATGTAACAAGCCTTTGCTCTGTGTGAAGTTCCATTATAAATGCTTTTGGGGGGCAGGGGTTAAATATTTGTCAATATGAAAATGAACATATTTTTCAAAGAATTTGTGATTTTTTTTGTTTATAAACTATTCAAACAAATGCTATAACCTACATGTAAGAGGTAATCAGCTACATGCTACATGAACAAAGAATGGCTTGTAGTGTACATAACTACAGGGAAAGCATTACAAATCTTTCCAATGAACTAGATAATAAATCTACTGTTTTAATACATGGAACATGTCATTTACACAAATAATCAAATCACTGCAGCATTTCTGAATGTCTTCTTCTATGACTGAATTACCTACCCATCCGGGCATTCTTTACCTACCTGTTCGGAGTGAGTTGTTTCAAGCAGCTCTTCAGTATCCACACTGCTGTGGTTGAGAGCCACACCCCCTTCTCCTGCACTGCTCACAAAGGGGCTTTCCCCATTGATGGAGTTGATGGAAGCTGCAGAGAGATTGTTCTTGGTCTGTGTCGGTGACGGTGAGGTCCTCTTAGAATCAAAGATGGAGTCGGTTTCCCTGGAAATAAAGAAGGTACAAATGTAAAGTTCAAAGTAATTGCTGCCAAAGTGCTTTATAGGTTTTTAGACATTTTATGACTAATATGTCATACATATTGGTTGAGAATTATCTTTTTACATCAAATAACAAGGTCTAGGAGTTTTGTTGTATAGCACAAATGATGCATGTTTTCATTCGCTCCTTACAAGCATCTACCTATCGATACAATAGTTGCTCACAGCCTCAACTCAAATGCAAATAAATTGTATAAATGGACTCATTTGCATGCATTTTTTGTATACCAACAGAATTCTTAACTTCATTGCGGGACAAAATGCTATAGATAACCATAATCAAAAACCAAAATCCAACCCCAATCGTACATTTTCATGAAATAAAGCCAGGATCAATTATCGCCAGGGCCATATGTTGAAGCACAGGCATAAAATATCCTAGGGAGAATGGTACTTACAGAGATATCTTAGAGATGGCTTCCTCTGCTCTGTCTCTCTGACTCTCCATGTTGAGTTGTAACAGACTGAGATCCCTGTGTTGTCTTTCGTATGCCTGCCTGAGTGAGGTCAGTTCAGCATCAGTCCTGTCCTGCTTGGAGCGCTGAAGATCCAGGAGTTGATCCTTACGCTTTTCTCTCTCCCCTACGGTTAAAGGTACATATGTAATGGAAAATTTGGAAAATTGGATGGAAAGAAATTCTTCAAAATCTTGATATATTTGGATGCCCCTGTGGATGTATTATAAGCACTAGAAAATTTAGCCTCTAAAACACTTCTGCTTTCGAGAAATTGAATAAAAATTTATAGGTGCTCCCGGTAAATTTCACATATTTCAAATAGCGCCAAGGCCATTCCATGGTAGCTGCGACAAAGAAATCTCAGAATATGCAGTTCTGATTTATAATTTCCAAACAGGAATAGCAAATCGTTTGATTGGAGTCAAGAAACATTAGTTTAAAGCTAAAGTAATATCAGTCTTGAGAGGGAGCTATACAACATCAAGAGTTTATTATTTCCCCGACTCTGGGAGATTTTTTAATGATTTTCCATGACCGTGGAAACCGTGCTACTGAGAAGATAACTTACCAGAGAGTTCTAGCTCAGCCTCCATATTCTTGACCTGTTCCTGGAGTTTAGTGATCTCAATCCTGTGCTCAGTGCTTCTGTTTGCACGGTCCATAAGATCAGCTAGTGAATAAATAAATGGAAGAAGTCAACTCAGAGTGTAAGAATGATTTTAATGATAAGGAAAGTCAAGGGTCAAGCAACAAGTGAATGCATGTTATAAGTTTATATTCATAATTATTATTGAATAATGTTATTTCCAAAGAAGGCCTCATAGCTTAGTATAAATATCAGAAAATCTGTTAAAATATCAGAAATAAATAAAGGAATAAAAGGGGAAATTAAGTAAAGAAGAGAGAAAAGATGAATCAGAAGAAAAAAATTGATAAAGAGAAGATAGGGATAATAAACAATTAGTTATTAACAATTGCTGATATGGTAAATGACCTACATTTGAGTTGTTCCACTTCAGAGAAACTCTCGTCCAGTTGGGTCTTAAGCTCAACCACATTCTTCTTCTCCTTCTGCTTCTCTTGTTTAGTTTCCTTCAAATATAAAATGACATACCAAACAAATCTGATATTTTGACAAAATCATTGCTTGTCCTGCCTAGATACACACACATGATAGGACAAAAAGGGCCAAAAGCTCAGATGAAAGAGTTGATTTCCACTATCAACAATATTGTCTGTCAGCATTCTATTTGGAGCTGCGCACTTTTTCTGAAAATATCTCTTGTGAAACACAATTCCAGTTGTAGATTACCAAATAATATAAAAACAACTTCCTAAACTCAATAACTAATCTTAAACTGCAATATCTGGAGATGAAATACTTATAAAACAAAATCCCACTCATACCTTACTCAGAAAATTTCTTTCTTGTATACGGTAGTCCTTAACTCCATTACGTTCAAGTCATTTTAAATGCAAATTTATTTCTGCCTTTTCTGCTTTCTTGGAAAGTTAACCTTTTCATGAATCAAATTGTCACCATGTTGCCAAATTAAAGTCTTTGATCCATTTACATACAAAAATATCGTGCAACGGTTATTTCTTTTTACCCTATGTGCTAGATCCAGCTTTTTCAGTCTTCCAGTCAGTTCAGCAATATGTGCAGAGGCATCAACAAGGTCTTTATCCTGTAAGCAAATAACAAAATCGCTACTACGTCATATATCGAGAACCATTTACAAAGAAATATTTCCACAGCTTCATACGATACTCAATATGTGCTAAGGCAACAATTGATCAGGGCTATTCATCAAGGTAAGATAAGGGTTTACGCTCAGGATGATAATTGGATAAAGTTTAGGTGAAAGTTAGTAGTAGTTTTTAGTCCAAGTTTAAAGTTAAGAATTCCATTCAATAAGAATATTGACTACCAAGCTTTTGTTGCCACAGCATGTGGTCATACGACCCCTCAACTATGACAAAGTATGGATTATTGGAGCCGACGTGCCTAAAATATTTCAAATATTTTGTATTTCTGACCAAACACCATCCTGCCAACATAGGAAATTATTTGAGCCAATGATCAATATCTAATCAGTCCATCTTCCTGCGTGATGGTGAACATTGATACTGTAAAAGTAATGGATTTACTTGATTTTATGGACTTGTAATGTGTTTCACATTCTCGTGATAGGGCGCAGTCCTCATCTGGCACTCTAACTTTGGGGTGCACCGATGTTATCCACTAGTTTTAAGATTAGGGATGAATGATCAATTATGCACAAGACTTACCTTTAATCTGACAACAGCAGTCAGCTCTTGTTCTCTTGCTTCAAAATGATTTGCTTTCTCTGATAGATTGTGTATAGCAGTCTTTAGTTTGGCATTTTCCTCCTGATAAAAATAAATGTGGTGAACAAAATATTCAAACACTCAGAGTAAGCAGCAGCGAAACTGAGGAGTGCATGTTATCATTATTATTATCATTATATAAGTATTTGCCGTCACCTGTCTCTGGGTGGCCCAAAACAATCTTAGTTGAGACAGGCAGACGTCGTACGTTTTACCGACTGAGCCAACTCGCCTCCTCACTGTCAAACTGCAAGACACATTTCAGTCAATGAACAATGCTAATTTTTAACTGAATAGTCATAATCAGTAAGTTATGTGAAAGAAGTGAATATCAAACTTCAGTAAAATTAACAATGCTATAATGATCACTACATTCGGGAAACTTTCCAGCGAAGATTTACAGACAGTGTCTCAGATTTGCTGTGATGAATTATTTAACCAGTCCCTACTCAAGAAAAAGATAAGGTAAGAATTCTTTGTAGAATTGTTTGTAAATTCGGTATATAAAAGATATATGGACGGCTTTAATATCCAAAGCATAGCTGTTTCTATACTGGCTCTTGGGGAATATAAAAGATATATGTTACTATACTGGCTCTTGGGGTATATAAAAGATATATGGACGGCTTTAATATCCAAAGCATAGCTGTTTCTATACTGGCTCTTGGGGAAGTACAGCCTCGGGTTATAGTAGGATGTAACATCCCCTTGAGCCTATAGAAACAGTGATGCCTTTCATAGCAGTCAATATATCTATATTATTCACACATTCTCACCTCTGCATCTTTAGCACGGTGCTTGATGGCGGTGGCACTGTCGGAGAGCTGTCTGAGTTGCTGCTGCATGGTCTCCAGAGCACAGGCTTTAGATTGGTCTTGAGATCCAAGGACCTTCATCCTAGTCTTCAGGCTCTTGATGTACTCACGCCGATTCCTCAGCTCACCTGTTAAGAATCAAGTTAAACAGTGATGATTGTGAGGGTTATTTTTCAGTTCCTATTGGCTGTATAACGTTTTCTTGGTACTTCTTGTACATATTTTGATGGACATGATTGGTACTACAGCCAAGAAATGGTTAGATTGTGTAAAGGCTGATTGTGCTACTAGATGTCTAGGATCCCTCACAGAAACGACCAGAACATCACAAGATAGGAAGATCTGGCTTGAGGTCATGAAGCAGAAGCCATCACAGATCTCCCAAATGGTGTGGAAGGCTTAGGTCAAGGTAGGTCACGATTGGTACTGCAAGGTGGAAAAATAGCAACAAAACAGACATACTAAAGCTTTTCCTTTTGCCCTCATCAAAGTAAATCATAAGGATACACAGAAAGCTGAAATCAGACATTATAAGCGAAAGCTAAAAGAACAAATTGCTCATATTTTTTCTTCATAGCATTGTTGATGGAGGGACTTTACCTTCGTATCTGGCAGACTTGGTCTCGAGGCCCAGGAGTTTTTGTCTGTCTTGCTCCCACGCCAGGAGCTGTCGTTGATGAGAGGCGACCATCTCATTGAGCTCCCTATCCCTGTCCTGTAGCTCACGTATCAGAAGCTGCAGCTCCTGACGCTGCTTCTGAATGGTGGTGTTCTCAAGGTCCGAGGTATAGCTTTTCTGAAATTGGAGATAAAACATTGAGAAACAACAAGGTTTTTAGATCGATTAGATGTAAAGTGTCTTTTTTCTGATGTTTGTTAAAGGTATAGACCAGTAAACGCCCCCCACCCCCTCTCAAAAAATGAAATGGAAGCTCTTATTACCAATCTTGTGAAAGAATATGTTTTGACTATTACATGATGATACAAATTTTGCTGAGAAACCGCCTACTAATTGATATCTTTGGTAAATTATTATATCGATCTGGCCTAAATAGATATTGTGTAGTCCCATATACATCGTTCTGTGTACAGTGCTTGTAACTTAACCAAGACTGGGCCAAATTTCTTATCATTTTGATGATTCCAGAACTTTGTAGTACACACCAATACTTATATACTAGATGATCAACCTTTTCTGATCGATTTCACAATGCAATCGCATGACCAGAACTGGGATATACCTTCAATGACAACCGTAAATATTTTTCAGAGGCTCTTCTGACATAACAACTACATGTATGTAAGATTAAAATGAGTCAACAGTTGAAAGACCACAGGGACCTGCTGCATGTGGAGTAAATTTTTAATCTTTTAGCGGCATAAAACTGTCAAAAATCTGAAACTGCTCACAAAATTGGCAAACATTTCATAGACAAAGGCTCTAGTTTTATGGTAAGTCAACACGAGGCATCTCACCTTTGATGAGAGGGAGCTTTGCAGGAAGGCTCCTGGGGAAGACTGCATTCTCTGAGGGCTCAACAGGGAGCTGATATTACTAGGGCTGCTGCTCTTCTTCAGAGCTAGCCCATTCCTATCCTCACTGCCATAGCGAGCCTCACCAGTCAGGGGCGAATCCTTGTTGGGGGTAGCAGGTTGCAGGGGTGAGGGTTCAGGGCTGCTGTGCCGAGGGAGTAGAGTGGGGTAGGAGAGCGACTTTGGCGTGCTGTGGAATGGTGTAGAGTTCAAGTTGTCTGTTGGACAGAAATCAAGGAAAAAATTTGGCTCTGAATTAGAACATACATTGAATTGAATAGAAACACAAAATAATGAGGAAATAAGAGGAATTACACTGAACTAAATTGCTCATGGACTATCCTGTATTGTAAAAATAGAATTATTTCTTTGTAATATTCTGCACGTGCAGTTACCTTTTTAGGTAGAGAAGTCGATCTAATAAGTTATTGACGTTGGCACATCTCCAGAGTGATGGATCTTCAGTTGATGTGTAATGTTTTTTTTCAGATGCATTAAATTTTGTACATTTAAAAACAATGATATTATTATTTGAGGTTTGAACTGGTTTCGATATGCAACTCTATATTCATTTTGTTTGAAAAAAGGTAAATCACTTATTAATCAGAGCATCAGTTTGCAATGGTTCTTCTACATGCATCCAGAGCATTTCTTATTCATTTAAAAAATAATAAAATAAAATGAAAGTATACAAATTACCTGTCCATTTTCTTTCCGATTGCTTCATGTCCTTTGTAGGGAAAGTTGAATGCTCTCCATAGATGGAAGACATGTTCTGGGCTATGGAAGCCCTACTGGGTTCACACATTGGGTAGAGTAAAGCTGCAATCTAAAAAGACAGAGAGAGATTTTCATATAATTTATGACTGAATGTTGACCATATATCTTAATATACAGAAAATCAATTATGATGTATTTTTCTTCATTCAAATAAAGAATACCATAATCTAGGCAGTTTCACAGCCTACAATATTGAGGGCTTGCTTCATGAGTGCATTTTGAGACTAAAAGCTATAGAGTAAGACCGCCAAACTTCGGACGTTGCCAAACTTCGGACAAAATTTACTTCAACGGCTCGAACGCAAAATATGAGCCTAGCTCAGGCGGGTATAACTTGCATGCATTTGATACTACTGCTAACCTATATCGTTAGTACAGAAAGTTAGGGCAGGTTGCCGTCTGCAAAACTCACAAAAAACATCAAATTCAGAGACAGATTTCAGGTTACCTAGATTTTTACAGTTCCTTAACAGGGGAGTTAAGGTGTAGAGCCTCATATATCGATTATAAACAAATCCTTGGCATATTTCAGGTGGTTTCTATCAAAATTATGGGAGCTTATGAGATACTTTTTCACTCTATCGCGAAAATTTTCTAATGGCGGCCGTTACCATGGACCTAGGGGTACTATACAGGTTCCCCTACCAGAAGATGGCGCTCTTCCAAGCTTCGGACAGGCAACATTGAGTGTAATTTTGACTACGAAAAAATAGCGCTTTCGTAAGATTTTAGCACCAAAATATTGTGTGAGTGTTGTGAAAAACGATTTTCTGATAGTTCTAGCTAACATAAATCTACCCAAAACTTGAAAATAATACTTTTGTCATGAAATCAACGCAGTCAAACCTACCCCCGTCGTACAATTTTTGATCCGGTTTCCAAACCTCAGATGAATGCGCACTTTAGCGCGCGCGCTGTACGTGCTATATACGTGCGCTATGCGCTATACGTGCACTACACATGAACGTCCGAAGCTTGGCATGAAAAAAGGTTCGGCGGGTAAGTAAATAATTCTAGTTTTCCATTTCCTTTACTAATTTTCTTTTCATGACAGACATAAACAGTATTTGCACAATAATAATATATTTGATCTTTCAATAATTAAAAAAGAATTTAATGTTTTCCCCCATTTTGTCTTAAGTGTCCAAAGTTTGGCGGTCTTACTCTACCCCTTCAAAAGCAAAAAAAATATAATTATATATTATAAAACATAGACTAAGAATGATCAGCAATGCTGGACATGGAAAATGGAAGTGTAATGATGTAGAAATCTAGTCTATTTTTTCAAGAAACCGATACACAACCTGTCAAATGACCCCAAAAATAAAAAAATTTACATTGAAACTGTAAAACTAAAACTAAAGGCAGCTATTCACTTGAATGTTCACACTATTTATTCCCATTATGTACATCATTTACCTCATTTTTTGTTCATTGTTTGTTGTAGGCCTGAGTCAAACCGTTTAACCGACGGTTATCCGACCGCATTCATCAAAACCGTTTAGCATTTCTCGCTCCGGTTAACCGTTATTTGCATACATTTTGGAATGTGCTAATAGCCGATGATAAAGATAATCAAAGAAACCGCAGTGTAATGTTACACCCTGGCCGCTGCGCGCCAGCTTTCTGGTAGCAGTAATCCTCATGAATGAATTTGTAAACAATAAAACAACCAGCCCCCTTCTCTTTTTTCTCACCCTCTTTATTCCCTTCTCTCTGCAATGTGTTCATCGCTCATGTACCTTTTCTTATTTCTACACTCTCAGCTCACAACTTTCTAAATGTTTACACATTCGATGGTCAGTTCCTCTCACATCCCTTCTCCCCCGAGTCTCTCTCTCTCTCTCTCTCTCTCTCTCAATATTAATATCCATCCCTTGCCGACTCGCCCCCTAAAATAATGTTCATATATAAATGAAATACAAAAATATTGATAACAATAATAATTGAAGTTATCAATCAACAAAGTCTTGGATATTGTGAGTAATTTAAGTTTTTGATCATTCTTCAATTCAGCCGATTAACACAGCAACCCTTTCTATCTAGTCTCACTTGTTTTACTTCTTCACTCTCTCATCATGAACCTCATAGGTTCATGCTCTCATGTCCCTGCCTCGTCCGTGCAGGGACATGCAGGGACATGCTAGCCCATGCATGCTCTCTCAGTCACACACACATGTACACACAAACCTCCGGCGCCCAAATACACTGTACATACACACAGATGGAGAGCTCATGCTTGTCACATGCACACATGTGGGCGTGGCTTCTTGACCTCCCACTGAACTGGGTGGTAACCCGACACATGCTCCGCCGACGATTGCTCCGCCGACATTTACTCCGCAAAACGCGACAATTGCTCCGCGACATTTGCTCCGCGACATTTGCTCCGACGTCACATGCTCCGCCGACAATTGCTCCGCCGACAGATGCTCCGCCGACAATTGCTCCGCCGACAATTGCTCCGCCGACAATTGCTCCGCCGTCATTTGCTCCGCAAAACGCGACAATTACTCCGCCGACATTTGCTCCGCCGACATTTGCTCCGCCTGAAGCGACACTTGCTCCGCCGACATTTGCTCCGCCGACAATTGCTCCGCCGACAATTGCTCCGCCTGAAGCGACAATTGCTCCGCCGACATTTGCTCCGCCTGAAGCGACAATTGCTCCGCCGACATTTGCTCCGCCGACAATTGCTCCGCCGACATTTGCTCCGCCGACAATTGCTCCGCCGACAATTGCTCCGCCTGAAGCGACAATTGCTCCGCCGACATTTGCTCCGACGACATTTGCTCCGCCCAAAAAGTGTCCCATAAACTACAAATGCTACTAGTACTACGACAAATGCTTCGCCGACAATATTTTCTTTACACCTATTTTTTTCGTTTCTTTTTTTCTTCTTCATTTTCTGAATGCATTTCTTGAAATAATGTAGATGAAATGAAATGAATGAATGTTGATGAAGTGGGAGGAAAAAGGAGTTACCTAAAAGTCATTTCGAATATACTGAAATAACTTTCCATCTATCACTGTACGTCCCATATAATGTATACTAAACACTCATTACATGTCGTGGGAAGTTTTTAAAAAAAAGTAGAGCAGCAAGCCACATTCCCCAATACGCGCATACCTCCTAGTTAATTTCAAGTAGCTCATCAATATGTAATACCTGAAATTACCTCGATCAATGCATCTTACTAGGTAAAGCATTTTACAATGTAATAGGTCATCATGGAAGTTTAGAAAATAAGTTAAGGGGATTTACCAAGTGTTGATCTTTTTAAGAGTTTTATAAAGAAACAAAAAGATATTGAATATTTCTCAGCGAAAAAAAGGAACAAGCTTGTTTCGCATTTTAAGAAATGGCGATTTGACTTATGATACTCATGTTGATTTAACTTTTATTCCTGTGCCCCCTCACTCCCCTTTATGCACTGGAGTTCAAACTATGATTTATATGTGTACAGTGTATTTTTTTTTACTATAATGTTTTTTTTTTATAACTTTCTTGTCCTTTCATTATTGTTAGTTGTTCTTATACATATTGGTTTTTTTGTTTGTCTAATTATTACCAATGACTTGTAAATATGTAATTTTTATATGATTGAAAATTTAATAAACACACAAATATAAAAAAAAAAGTTTAGAAAATAAGGGCACTTATATACGTAAGGAAGAGAACCCATTCAGACGGGAAAATGAGATGGCAGCCTTTCTGCTTATTCACATTTATACGAATCATTTTGTTGCAGTTTGATGTTAGTTCTTCATGATAAGCCAATTGCTCTTCTTCCGGTGGCTTCGTGAGTCCCTTAAATTATTTAGTGAAAACAAAGTACTCGAATGAAACGGAGTGTTTTGCACACTAACATATATATATTAAAGCTACATACACTTAACTAAAGGAAAGAAACCTTTAGAAAATGGACTGGATATTATTGAAAATATTATTCTAAACAAGAATGTACTACATGATTGTATTACTTTACGTTTCAATTTCACGAGAGAAATAGAACTCGAGAGGGGGAGCAGAGAAGAAGTGATGGAAATGAAAGAAGTCTAATAGCATGAGAGGAAAGAAAAGAGCAAAGAAGACAAGAAAACGGTGTAAACAGGAAAAGGAGGAGCATGGGAGAGAGAGAAAGAGACAGAGAGAGAGAGATAGCCTTGAGCTTTGGATCAGCTAATGAGTAATACATGAAACAGATTTTGAGCGGAGTAATTATCTTTCGCCGGAGAACTTGCGTAAGGAGCTATAATTTTATTTTTTATTTTTTTAATCAAACATAATGGGGAATAGCAAAAAACGGTTGTCTTTTTTGTTCTTTTCTTTCCTCTCATGTTATTAGTCTTCTTTCATTGAGGTAATTTCAGGTCTTACATATTGATGAGCTGTTTGAAATTAACTAGGAGGTATGCGCGTATTGGGGAATGTGGCTTGCTGCTCTACTTTAAAAAAAAAAACTTCCCATGACATGTAATGAGTGTTTAGTGTACATTATGTGGGACGTACAGTGATAGATGGAAAGTTATTTCAGTATATTCGAAACGACTTTTAGGCAACTGCTTTTTCCTCCCACATTATCAACATTCATTCATTTCATTTCATTTACATAATGTCATGAAATGCATTCAAAAAATGAAGAAAAAAAGAAAGAAACAAAAACAACCCGTGAAAAAAAAATATTGTCGGCGAAGCATTTGTCGTAGTACTAGTAGCATTTGTATTTAATGGGACACTTTTTGGGCGGAGCAATTGTCGGCGGAGCAATTGTCGGCGGAGCATATGTCACCGGAGCAATTGTCGCTTCAGGCGGAGCAATTGTCGGCGGAGCAATTGACGGCGGAGCAAATGTCGGTGGAGCAAATGTCGGCGGAGCAAATGTCGGCGGAGCAAGTGTCGCTTCAGGCGGAGCAAGTGTCGCTTTAGGCGGAGCAAATGTCGGCGGAGCAAATGTCGGCGGAGCAATTGTCGCGTTTTGCGGAGCAATTGACGGCGGAGCAATTGTCGGCGGAGCAATTGTCGGAGGAGCAATTGTCGGCGGAGCATCTGTCGGCGGAGCAATTGTCGGCGGAGCAACTGTCGGCGGAGCAACTGTCGGCGGAGCACCTGTCGGCGGAGCATTTGACGTCGGAGCAAATGTCGCGGAGCAATTGTCGCGTTTTGCGGAGTAAATGTCGGCGGAGCAATCGTCGGCGGAGCATGTGTCATGGAACCAACTGGGTACGGTGAAAGCACGCGCGGTCACCAACCTGTAATTTATGCTGGTATCAAACTCCACCCACATAGCTAGAGAACCTTCCTGATTGGTCACTAACTTGGATCAGCTCATTGCAGGGTGTGTCTTGGGTGTGTGTGATACACACTTCCACATAATTTCATATGGCAATGATACATGCAGGGAGCTCTCTCCCTGACCGACCATGTGCAAACATTGCATTGCAAAGGCATATATAAACACGTCACAGATCAGCTACCTTCACAGAGTAACTTTGCAAGGTTAATCATGATATCTAATTCAGATGAGGAATAATAAGACATGTTTTATGTTGTTTGTTACTGGTCTCTGTTTATCAGGATGACCCAATTTGTGCCATAGTCCGGGGCTGGGAATGCTCAGCCCGACAGTCTGAAGACCAGCAGGGTTCCTAGCTACAGCACTATTACAAATACTGTATTTTCACTTTTTCAGATTATTATTAAACGGTTAAACGAAACCGCCCGTATACTTTTAACGGTTAACCGTTTAGCACAAAAACCGTAATGACTCAGGCTTAGTTTGTTGCATAACTTCACCTTGGGTTACACTATGACAGCGGTTATCTGGTTTGAGTCTGTGGATAATGTTGTGTTTGGGATCGGTGTGTTTGTAGTTATTGCAATATCGAGAGGTACATAAATTATAGGTCTAAATAAAGAGATGGTGAAACTAGACTAGACCTAGGCTACTTTTGAAAACATTACAGGAGGGAGTTTTCGGCCACTTAAAACAAAATCCTATTTTTGGACTCTTTACTTCATATTTATTATCCTTTCTTGTTCAATTCATGAAGCAAACAGTCTAGACTACTAATACTAGTAGGCCTATACACTCCCACGCCACGGCCCAAGAACTGAACCATCTGCAACTCGCCTCTCTCTCTCTCTCTCTTTTCTGATAAAATAAAATGACAGTCACATTCATCACCTTGGACTTTACAGACTAAAATATATACCGTAAGCATAGCCTAGACCTAGAATAGATGAATGTAGTGTGTGAAACTCAAGAGCATGGCTCAATCAAACTCATTGGATCGGATTGGCCACCGCTCCCCGCCGCGCCCCGGTGGAAACATGCAGACAATGAGACAGTGCTCAGTGTAGTTGAGGACATGGCCTCGCCACTCAGTGCGGGGCAGATTGCAGTGACCACTGCACCGCATCGTTCCACAAGCCAACAAAACTAAGACCAAGTTTAAATTTCGTTCTTTTGCTGATTTATTTCGTAGCCATATCTTAGATATGAGCCTAACGAATTATTTTCAAATAGATTTTGGTATCTATTTCGTAAATTTAAAAGAACAAAGGCAATATTTCTTACCTAAAATTCTCGGGACGGAGTGTACTGGTTGCAGGCGAGAAGGAAATAGAACGTTTCAGCACTTTTCAAATTTACATATTTTGCGCGATTACGTGTCTAGGCTTTGGATCCAGTCGTTTTCTAGCTCGTCGATACAAAAGACTTCGATGATTACAAGATTTTCTTGATTGCGTTGATAAGGCGTTTACAAAAAAGATGTTGTATTCATGATGGTTAGTGCTATTTGATTAATATTTTCCGTTAAATCATTAGGCAAAATAAAAAATAAGTCTTCATTTTGGTGTCCGGACACCCAACCCCCTTCATAAAGAGCGCTTTTTACTCAAATTGCTGATCTGCATAATGCTATGAGCTCTCACTGACAGTTGCTTTCTTTCTTTTTTTTTAATTAGGGACAACAGGAGATCTAAAACGTAACCGGAGAAATATCCGTTTTTTCTTCTCAGAACTAGTATAACTCTGTATTATTATGATCTTTTCGATCGTTTAAAAAAAAAATCACTTATATCTCGGTATTTGGATGAAGTTCATTGACAAATGGGTCTCCGGTATAAACCATGCATGTTTGCTTAGATGTAAAATAATACGAACTTTAAATGGTTCCATTGTTTTGACGATCCTCGCCAAGTTCCCCAAATTCATCGCTTCAAGTAAGTGGATTTCATTTACGGGTATTTTCTTTGTATGTCACCAACTTTTCCGAGACATTTCATTGAAAAGCATTTCTGTAGTGCGTAACAGGTTAACGGATCAAATCCACTTTCAAAATATAGCTTTACGCGTGATATTGAATAATTTAGTTCAACATCAACAAGATAGGCCTACCGTAAGCTAATTAAGATATCAAACTTCACATCATTTCACAATTATTCCTCGATTGCCTATACAATACAAGAAGGCTGCCCTTGAAAATAGATAGCTGATACGGCATTATATAATAAAGGTAATGAATGAACAAAAATGTCATGTTATATGGATCTATGGTGTATTAAACGAATTTGAACCAAACCAGTGTTAAAACTGTTCCAAATTTCAAATAAAAATACCTCTATTTAGACAGTTTGGAAGTGAAAATACCTTCAATTGTTTTACTGAAGGGGGGGGGGGCAGATTGACCCCTCCCCCTGGTCGGATGTAAACCATTTTAAAATATCACTTTGAAGATTCGTCTATACCTTAGGGGTAATGAGAGGGTGCATGAAATGAGGGACTGGAACTTATTACAGGTATCAAGGGATACCGGTACATAGTTTGTTTGTCCTATCTTATACGAATGGACTAATGAAGGGAAACACCGCCGAGGCCATGGGCGTAACAGAGGGACCTGTTCCCTGGCGTCTCTCATGTCATTTCCTATTGAAGTCTTATATTAAAGAGGATATTTTCCATCAGGGACGGAGATAATTTTATTGTTGTCAAATATTTCTATCCTAACAGGATGGGAGGGTGTTCCTAGTTCCTGTGCACAGTCATAATTGCTTTGTGTATGTGTGATAGTAGAATACTTAGATGAGATTGGTATACACTCAGTTCCATCCATCTATCCTGGTAGTGTTTTTGTTTTTGTTATTTTTTATTTGCCTCTTTGTGTTCAATTTTAAGGTGTACAAATTAGTATTTATTATGCACACAGTGTGTGCGGGAAAGCACTGAATCCAATGACTGGGGTAATAGTATATTTGTAAAGCGCTTAGAGACATTTGTATTAAGCGCTATAAAAAATTAAATATTATTATTTATTATTATTATTATATTTATGAATAGGATGGTAATATTGTGCTTTTCTTTCGAAACGAATTGTGTTTTTATCATGATTTTCTTTAAAATCTTTCAAGCCTTCACTCTGTATTTAATACCAGCCAATGTCATTATCCTGTTTGCTAAATGATATTCATTTTTGTACTTACTAATATATTTCCCACCTATAATATTACAATAATTAATCTTTAAAACAAGCTCTATAAATCTAAAAACGATTTTATATTATTTCTCGAATTTCGAGAAAATTGAAAATGAATTATGGGATTAAGGTTAGGAATAGGGTTTTGGTGTTGGATGGTGAGGAGCTTTTACTTGCGTTATATGCCAATGGAAACTAAAAAAGTAGCCGTGCTTGAGCGTTGCCGTTGGTTTAGTGGTCATGATAAAGTTATTTTATCGATTTTTAATAGGCCTACTTCCAAAGTTTGGAATGCATTCTACTCTCAGTTGAAATGTATGTTTTGAAAGTTTTACCAAAGTTTCGCCAAATTGAGTTCAGTTGGTGATAACATGGAATATATTCCTTTGTTTAACATGTGCTTGTGCATGTAACAAAGCAGAATTCGCCAAAATCTAGAACCGAGTTGGCCAAACTCTGTATATAACTGGCTCTGATCGACCTTGATCTTTCGTCTGCCTTGACACAATGACAGATGATGATTGGTACCTGGTTGTTCGAGTTACTGTCAGAATTGTTCGGGAATTGTTGCAATACATGCAGTCAACCACGTCAACGTGAAATTAACTTAACTCACTGCCTTGTTTTATAGAAAGGGCAGGGGCGGCGCCGGAGGGGGTGGCAGGGGGCAGCCGCCCCCTATCATTTTGAAAAAGGGAAGAGGAAGGGAAGGAGAGAGAGGAAAAGGATAAGGAAAAGAAAAGGAAAAGAAGGAGAAGAAAGAGGAAAAAAGAAGAAAAGAAAAGGAAGGGGACGAGAAGGAGAAAGGCCAGGAGAAAGAGAACTATGAAATGTAAAATATGACGTAAGGAAAGGCGGGGGAGAGGGGAAAAATAAAGATAGAGAAAAAAAAAAAAAAGAGAGAAAAAGCAAGCCAAATTAGGCAATCAGATTTAGACGCAATATTAATACATTCACATTACCGGAAGTTCAAACATTGGTTTACGATGAAAAACCTTTCGCGAACTGAAAGAAATCAAATTATACCCTTTTATCTTCTAAACCTAATTTCTGATTGATCAATGGAAACGAAAAATTCATCCATAACAACCCTTCTGAAAAATATGGTAACACCCCCCCCCCCCCTGCCTTCTTGTTCCTGTTAGTTGAACTTAAGACTGTTTTCTTTTTAATTTGGCGAAATTCTGCACCAAATCGAGCCATTTATGCATCAATTTCGATGAAATCTTCAACTTTTGAGGGGGCACCCCCCCCCCCCTCCTGCGTGGCGCGCCCAATTCACCCCCTAACAAAATAACCTAGCGCCGCCCCTGAGAAAGGGAACCTTCCAATTTTCATTATGTCTTATATTTAACAAACCATTATTAACAACAATAGCGGATCACGTTAAGTCTATCAGAGCAAATGAAGAGCATTGTACTTGAGCAAATATCAGTTTAAATTTCATTGGAACAGTATTATTATGAAGGTAAAGGATTTTATACCTTCCAATGCAAAAAGTCGTCTAGCGCCCCCTCTCGACGTCTCTACACTCATAAATAAAAAATAAAAGTTTTGAACAGCATCAAACCTCCATTGTTGGTATCAATCATGGGTAAAACGATATAACAGTTACACACAAACATCAGAAACAATGCTGCCACAGTTTTGTTTAGGTTGGAATAGTGTTGAAAATGGTTAATTAAAGTGAAAACATTGAAGTATCAAACAGTTTTATAATTAAAAGGTAACAAAAAGTAACGTTCAGGGGGGAATCCAGCACATATAGCTACACCCCCCCCCCCCCCATCTTGACAATCCTAGATCCGCCCCTGTTTCCCCCGGCCTCTTACAAATTATGATATATTTTATGTGAAATGTTGCCTTCAATTTTAAATTGGCTTTAATATACTACATGTATTGATGTGTTATTGATCTGAACATGTAGAGAGCTATATACCAACAAGTATATTCTTTAATCACTTTCCTATACAGTTTCGTAAAATAAGTTTGATACAGAAGATCCGTGTATGTGTGTGAGTGTGTGTGTGCGTGTGTGTGTGTGTGTGTGTGTGTGTGGGGGGGGGTGGTCATTTTTTCTAGCTCTTAAGCCTGTGTAATTTTTCCGAGTTTTCACAGTGCCGACAAAAATGTTGTTTTCAATGTGAGTGTCGCACCCCACCCCTCTCGTCTAGCGACTCCCCTGGTGATGTGTAATGTTTTATAAAGGATTCCCCTCATTTCCCCGCTTGACATGGAATGGAGAGGGAGTTGTTCTGAATCATGATACAAAAAACGTGGAAATGGGGCAAGTCGGAGATAACATTTTACGGCACCCGGTGGACATTACGAGTTGGGCTGAGCCCCGGCAGACGATAGCTTCCTGCAATTGTGACTTTGACCTTGAGCGGGAAGATTTCTGAAGCGTTCACATTTGAGCGTATCTTCCAAAAGTTAGTGTTCCGTCGAGAACGATGATTTCTTGAAGGTTGCGAGTGAGGTTATGAGAGAGTCTTTTCGCTACTAAACTGTGTTAACACGTTTTAGGCTTTCACTAGACTATTTGCGAATTGAAGGAGTGTCAGACACAATGTTGCCCAAATTTCTGCCAACAAGGTAAAGTATAGAAGAAGAAAAAAGGAAAAGGAAAAGAAAGAACAGCAAGATTTAAAAAAAAATCTTTTAAAAAATCACCTTTTTATAGAGTTTTGATATTATTTTGTAGACTATGTCAGAACAAAATAATACAATTTCAAATTTACACCCCCCCCCCCAAAAAAAAGGTGGGGGAGTCACATCCCCCACACAACCTCACACCCCCACACACAGACCAACGATAGTACACGATGTAAACGAATTTTACTGTCTTTCACCCAAAATGTAAAACTTTTGTATGTTTGACACCGGGTTTGACACTTTGTTTGCTTTGGTATGGTTGCTTTCTACATCTCTGTCTGCGCGGCCGCTGGTTTACCACACGTGCAATATTGCACAAAACAATAGGCACCAATTGGCGGAAGATGCATCACATCCATGACGTCATGTCTTGATTAGCTCCAACAACAACAACCCTTTTAACACCGGTATATAGGATTAATCGTGCCCCGGGAGCAGCTAAATAATCTTGAAATCTTTGGTATTAACTATTATCTATCCCAAGATTTCTTGAATGTGTTGGGTTGTTGG